AGAGATTTATCGATAGTTCACAAAGCAAATTATATTCATGGTGATCTTCATAGCGGTAATATATTGCAACATCAATATCTTTATGGAGTTCTAAGATCTTATATTGCAGATCTAGGATTATCTAGAAAGAATGATGATTCAGATTTAGAAGATAGTATTTACGGCGTTTTACCTTATGTTGCCCCGGAAGTGTTAAATGACCGATCATATACAATTGCGGCAGATATTTATAGTTTTGGTATTATTATGACCGAAATGTCTACTGGAAAACCACCTCATTACGATATTGAGTATGACAGAACGTTGGCTATTCAAATATGTAACGGATTACGTCCTGAATTTGCTAAAGGCACCCCTGAATGCTATATTCAATTAGCAAATCAATGCATGGATGCTAATCCTTCTAATAGACCAACTGCATCTAAGATCTACGATGAATTATTAAGATGGTATAATATAATATATTGGAAGTTTGCAATGTATGAAAATGAATCAACAATATTAAAAGCATTTCAGTATGCAGATATAATTATTCCAACATTATCAACAGAGCTGCCAAACTGTTCTAAAGATAAACTAACAAGTAAGCTGCTTAACTTTAGAAACCTTTCAGAGCCAATTAATTCTCAATCTTCAGAGTTGCATGGTAGATAATTGCACTAATTAGCTCTGATTTTTAATCAATCGACAAAAGTTTAACGATTTTTTAATTTTTTTTAGGTTCCAGAAAATGCGATTTCTTAATTCCTGATGACTAATATAATGATATTTCATGTAAATATTTTGATTTATTAATACATAAAAAATGTTTATTAATCTATAAATACGGTTCATTTCTATACTAATGGTGAAATATTATAATATTTTAATCAATTTTCAAGATTTCATGCTTACACTGAGAAAAAATGATTATATAAGAAACAAAATGTGATTATGACTGAAGAATAGTTGAAAAAGACAAAGGATAGAGTTATCTATCGCTTCACAATCCCCTTTAAACATTATCGCAAGATAACTTGTCAAATTCAAAAATTTAACCTTACACGATTTACTACAATTTTCATTATCTTTTTAAATTGGAGCAGTCAACTTGTCTATTTGCTTAATATTACACACTTTAATTTAGTGAGATTTTCAACCACCAATTCACCACTTAATTTTTTAGTCGGTGAACTTTTGTTAACATCGTTTACTCCATAAATATTTTTAAAAGAAATTTTATTGGCTATGATAGACCATCATTTATTTATGCTTGATGTAATAATTTTGCTTCCTATAACTTCAAGAAGTTTATTTAGAACTTTGCTTCAATTTTTTTTAACAATCTATCAAATTCTTTTGTAGACATGTTTGATTCTGCTTTTCTCGTCCAAAATTCTATTAAATTCGATTTAGTTTCTAATTTCTTCCTTAGTTCTTTATTTTTTT